AAGGTAACTTCAGTTTGATCCTGTTTGATTGGTTATTCAGTCTTATCTTTAAAGAGACCAGTTGATTAAGTTTGACGAAGTTTAAACAGTTCATTGCGATATAACATAAATTATGACACAGAGAAAAAAGCAAAGTTTTTCATTCATATTAAACCAAAAAGTTCAAATTACAGAGGCCATAGGCTTTACAAAATCTAAGATAAGGTAGGGGGTGGGGGAGCTGGAGCATCGGAGCGTGAAGCTTCAGTTAATGGCAATTGAGGCACTTCTGCAGGCTGAGGCCTTTCGGTTGGTGTATTATCATACTCGAGTTCAACCACCTTTACTTCCTCAGCTGGGGTCTGAGGAACCTCCTCCTCAATAAACTCTACTTTAAGCTTAGAAATATCCCGCCCCCAGATGCACCTCCTCCATTCTCTCAAAATCTTCTTGGTATGCCACCTTGCTCCAGTAAATTTCGATGCAACAATATTCCTCGATGAGATGGAAATTAGCAATGTAGTTCTTCACCGCGATATCCCCATCTTCAAGAACGTCTGCCCCATATTTTTCACTTCGGAGGCGTACCACTTCAGCTCGTTCTCCATGAACTTATTGGCCTCCTTGCAATTGGCGAGTGCCAAGTTCGCCTTCTCCAAGGCCTCTACAGCGACTCTTTGGTGGTTATCAGATAGTTCACCTTCTTTGTTAGAGCTGACACCTCACACTGAGACTCGCGCACCTCATTCTTCAAAGCTTCAATTTCAGCTATGAGGAAATCTCGCTTGGCATCATCTTCATCTTTCTGGATTCTTAGCTCAATGTTTGCCTCCTTTTTCTATTCAGGTTCAGCTTTAACTGCTGCCAATTCATCTCGCGAGGCTCAGTTCCTTGACTGAATGTCAGAAAGGACTGTTTAGCATTCAAGTGCCACGCCAAAAGCTCTGGCGGTTTGGCTCACCAAAGTGGCAATGAGGTCCACTGCGTCGCATGTGGCAACATAATTCTGCCATCTCTCCATCCAGAATTTGTTGAACCCCTCGGTGGCACCTCTCACCTCGGGGGGGAGCATCTCTATAAGAGTATGAGTTATCTTGTCCTCCCTATCTCCCAGGAAGTTCCCAGACTTCC